TGTGCCGTGTCCGTGCAGTGGCACTGGTGAGGGCATTACATGCCCCATAGAACGGCTGCTTCATCCTCCAGCGTGGGACAGCTGGGACAGAAGCACTCAGCCTTTCTGTCCTGTGAGGGCTTTTGCTAGGTCTGATCTGGAGACCCTCCTCCTGCCCCAGCCGTGTGAGCCACATGGAGTTGGTGTGTGGGGCAAATGCGTTTTAACCTGGAGTTTGTTCGTCGTTTGGTGGCTTTTTTTGCATTTTGTTCGATGTGAGATCATTCAGTCAGTTCTTTTCCAACTGCTGCTGTGCCACAATAGCTAATGACTGTCTTACAGGCATGGAGAGGCTTTAGTGAGGTGCTGGTAATGCTAACTGATTGCATTCTTGTTCTTTCCTGCGCTGATTAAAAGGACAGCTTTCTTCTTGCTTCTGTTTTTCTTTAGTCTTCTGCCATTACCCTGCGTGCTTCCCAGAACCTACCCCACCAAGTCCTTTGCTAGGTGTTGTGAATTGATGGAAATCTCTAATTTTATGTTGTAGTAAGGCAGAGACTGCAGTTGTAGATGATGAAAGATTCTGCCAGTTAAAAAGTTACTAAGCAGTGAACGTTCTGTGTCTGCTAGATAGATGGGCCCTTGTTCTGCATGTTGCCCATTAGATTTCATTGCCAGTGCAGCTCCCGCTCTGGCTTTGCTGCTAACAGTGGCTGTGTTTTCCTGGGCAGGATGGGAATTGGAGACTGCTGTATGCAATCCCCTTGTTTCCCCAGGACAGGCTCATCCAGAAGGTCTGGTCTCTCCTGGGAGAGTACAGCAAGTCAGCTCTTGTTGAGGATCAATCAGAGGGAACAGCTCTGCAGTAAGAAAGGAGCCTGTATGTAGAGAATGGTACAGCAAAGCACGGTCCGTTTTGAACATGGAAGACTTTAGGGCAGGGGTAGTTGATTCTGGGGGAACCAGTTTCAGAGCTTGTGTCCACAAGAGTCCGATGACCCTTTGGAGGTTGTCTGTCCAGTTTGCAAGGTAGCAGTAAGCTGGTGGATGCAGCAAAGTAAGAAACCAAAACCTCTGTGAAATAATCTTGTTCTTCTGGGTGCAGTGGCATGGGTGGGATGCTGCGGAGAGCTAAACCCTACATCAGCCCTTCTGTAGTAAGCCAGCCCCCTTGCTGTGTTACCTGGAGAGATGCCTCTACTCACAGGTTATCGGTGTTACTGGAGAAGGAGAGTTATGGGGCATGGGCAGTTGTAGCTGCAGGGAGGAAGCTGGAATCTGAGTGCTGCACAAAACACTTGCTGTTCAGAGAAGTTCCTGAAAGGTTGATTTGGGGACACATATGCAGGGACCTGAATCACTAATGTTTCTGTGGAACTTCTGGAAAGCAGTCAGTGAGTGAGTGGTGGGGCAGGGGGTTAATTTGATGGCAAATTATCTTTAAATTACAGTGGTGCAGCTCCACTGATTTCTGATTTGTTGCAGTGGCGTAAATGAGCAAATGTAACCTCTAGGGCCGATACAGGTAACTGCAGAAAAGGAATTCAGCAGCCTCCACTTTTCTTGTATTGACCATGTCTGAGTTGCTCTCTTCTGTCATACTGCTTTTTTAAGACTCTGATCCCCCTAAGGTAACCTGCAAAAAGAGATTTAGGCTGTGACTCCTCTGCACTTAATTTTTTTCCCCTGTAAAGATGCAGTAGAGCATTTCTTTAAAAAATAGTTTGCCCTGCATGTTTATCCTTGCAGTCTGAGGAGTGTCACATCTTATCTTCCCTGTTGCTTGCTGAGAAGCTCCTTGGAAGTCATCTACGGTCCATTTTCTTCTATCTTTGCTTGACACTAGAAGTGGTGTTCTTCCAGCTGCTCATGAGATTTAAAAAAGCTGAATGACTATTTAAAATCTTTGTGGAAGAGTCCAGCTAAAAGTCTCTTCCTTTTTAAGTTATTCATACTTCACCATCTTGGAACTGATGTTTTCTAGTCTGCTATAGACACTTCTAGGAAGACCAGGTCAGACAAGACCTTGAAGGAGAAATGCTTTAATCTTAAAATTAAATTCCTCTAGTTCTTTTGTACCTGACAGAAGGGTACAGATAAAGATCTCGTGTCTTTAACGCAAAAAGGTGTTCTTCCTGCAGCAGCTTTCCTGAGCAAAAGTCAAAGCAGTGTGTAAGAAGGGCAAAGGATGCTAACACGCAATCTTCTGTTACACAGAGGATGAGAGTTTTTGTCATCTGTGTAGGAAGCTGATGCCTTTCAAGCCTTCATGTTAGATGCTCTTAATACCTTCTGTGGCTCTTTAACCTGTCCTCTGTCTAGCAGCCACATCTTAAAGAGCAGATGAAATCGTCTCAAGGATGGCAGGTCCTAATCTCAGTAACAGTTCCTATCCATTATAAGGCATGAAGTGAAATGATCTGTGAGTGGGTTTATCTCAGATCCCACGTAGCATTTTCTTTCAGCAGCAGCGAGAAAGGGAAATTATCAGGCAGTGAGGAGAAGCTGTTTATTTTTAACTTACCCTTTCTTTTTAAGTTCTGTTTCATAATTAAAGGAGATAAGGAGTGGAAGCCAATGAAAATACGTAGCTAAAGGGATAAGCTGATCTCAAGTTCACTGCAGAGATGACGATAAATAGTAGGTAACACAGCAGAGACTTTGAGGCCTCTCGTTTCTTCCCTGTCCTTCTCCTAGAGTGTCAGTTAAACTGAGTTCTTAGCTGCCTTTCAAAGGTGACATAGGACGGCTGATTTAAAGGATACAGAGCTCGCTGTTGCCCTCTGAGATTACTGCTCCTCCTGTGGTTTGAGGATGCCTCTGTTGAGTGTCTGAAGAGATATCTACTCAAAGCTAACAAGGAGGAGTTCTGATTCTTCGTGGAGAAGCATGCACATCCATTGTGTGGGTGCACCCCTATGGCACACGCGTGGCTGTGTGTCTGGAGGCACAGAGGAGTGAAGAGGAGCCCAAGAGAAGGTTCCTGGGGAGTAGGGTAGACCTGGGTAAAATACCTCCACTCTGAGTTATTGCTGGAGAAGCCTTTTCTACTCCTCACCTTTCAAACAAGATTTCTCCCTTGCAGCTGATTAATCTTGGTCAACTTGACTTCCTCAGATTGACAGGAGCATAGCCCTCTGATTCATGCAAGCTACTAGATTCTTGATTGCTCAGAAGGTGCGTTACCTATTACTTTCCATCTCTAGTGGATAGTTGCATCCCAGAGTAAATTATTCCTGTACCCAGGCGGCTTGCTTTCATCATTGCTCTTGGCTCTGTGATACTTCTCGCAGCTTCTGCACACAGGAACAGGAAGGCCAGACTGAATTTGGAGATGGCTGTCATTGCAGGGGTTTCTTCCTCTCTGCCAGAGGAGCTGACAAACAGCATTAGGAAATGAGTCCTGGAGAGGAGGCTGCGTGCTTTTGCAGCGGCAGAACGCTGACAGGCTGTTCTTAAATAACATTGCAAAATGCTGATTCCTATGCCTAGCTTGCCTCTGCAGTGCTGGAGGACAGCTGAGCTGCAAAGAGGGTCTTCTGTGTGACCATCTCACCTGGGAACCACTTCTGGGACCCTTTTTTTACCCCTCAGTCCTTGTTTGGATGATGCTGTGGCTTCTGCTACTTCAGGTCCTAGCCTGCTCCTAAGTGTTTGCATGGGTGTCTCTGTGTACCACTACCACGTGCAAAGTTTGGGAGAAACAAGCTTTTGAAGGAAACCTAAGCAAGTCTGGGTTTCCTAGAGTAAAGGACATAAGAACATGATTCAGTCCTGTAAAGGCCAGGAGCTGCCAGCTGCCTTAAAGGGTAACTGAGGGTAGTTTTACGTTGTTGGGAGGACAAGAGGAGAAGTAGAAGGGTTCCTTATTGTTCTGGTCCCTGTTGTGTTAAATCCTCTGCAATGCTTTTCGTAGGATCTTTTCTGAGTTGTGATGCCTTGGAGCAGAGTCCTCTTCCTTTGCACCTTATACTACTTAGTCCTCCTGGCTGAGGCTTTTCATGAGCAGAGGCTACTGTGATGCAAACCTCAGATGTTGATGTTCTGTTTAGCGCTCAGATCAAATGGTAACAGCCCAACGAAGAAGTTCATGTGTTTAAGAGAATCATTTCAAGCATATGTTTTGCCCACAAGTGCTGAGCTAGATGGTTCCTGGTAGGAAGATTATTGTTACTTACCATCTCACAAATGCTTTGAGGAATGCATTTCTCCATGCAGTACTTTGAAGCTAAAAACTATTGTGGGAGTCCCTCTTGGTGTTCCCCAGTGAGGAAAATGAATAGTTCAACAGGACAGAGATGTGTAACTATGAATTTGCAAGTATAGCCCAGTGCTAGGAGCAGAGTAAGACAGTAATGTAAGCTAGAGTACTTTGGTTTCAGGGAAGGCAGATAATAAAATAGCTCCTGGGCAGGAAGACCTGTATTCATATCTCCATCTGTTTCCAAAACCAGAGTCCGTACCAGGGTTGGTCTTCTCTTAGTGCCTGTGAGAAGCTTGTTCCTGTCAGGGAGGAACTGCAGTGCTCTGTATGGAGGCCGACCTGAGCAGCTGTAGAGCTGGCAGTTCAGCAGATTGTGAATGGAGATGAGCAAGCCAAGAGGGAGGCGTGCTGGCAAGAGTAGCATTGGTAGGACCGTGGGGTCAAGCAAACCTGTGTTTGCGTAGTGCCTACTGTGTTGCATTTGGGTGTACACATAGTAATTAGCTGATTAAATTAATGAGATCATGTCTACTTCTATTGACATAATAGTATTTGGAAAACTGCTGCTGTCATAGATATAGGCTCATCCACTCGTGAATGGAGAAACTCTGTAAATTTGAGGGCTGTTCCTTACTGACATTAGGAAGACTTTAGTGCCCCCCTCCGTGTTGTTACTCATGAGCCAAATATTGGCTGTTAAAGCCGTGTATGTTGTAAAAACAGGAGCCAGAGCTGTGATCTGTCTCAACCTTGCCCCTCCTATGCTGAGATGTCTGTGGATGCTGACTCCTCTGCTGTATTTGGCTGTCTCTGGCAGGTTTTGGAAGTGGTACGGTCCAACTACGACACGCTGACCCTGAAACTGCAAGACGGACTGGACCAGTACGAGCGCTACTCAGAGCAGCATAAAGAGGCTGCCTTCTTCAAAGAGCTGGTAAGCTGCCCTGATTCTGCAGAATCAACAACCTTTTTCCAAAGCCTTTGCTTATGACCTGGGCAGCGGCATTTGGGGTATAGCTGAGCAGCCCTGTTACTCCATTGGGCTGCCTCCAAAGACAGGGCAGGAATAGGATCTGAACAGACACTGCATGTCTCAGCAGATCTGAAAGGTCTCTGGAGCTCCCTGCCCTGCAGTACATGGCTGGGGAGGAACCACTGGACTGCTCAGGCCAGCAACCGGCCCATCAGTCTCTGTCCCTTCTGCCATGAGGAACCACTGTGCTTTGTGGTGGTAAATTTGCACAGTGGAGAAGCAGACCGCTCCCACCTTGGGTTTATACACAGAGCAACTTAGCCTTTTTGCTGTCATTAAGGGGACCACAAAGTATGGGACTGAGCAGAGTAGGTGATGCTGGCGAAACACGTGCCTGCTTGTTGCTTTCCTCCATCACTCACAAAATAGGGTTCCCAAGCAAAGAAGGCAAAGGTATTCACTAGAAATGTTTCCCCCTGCCAGAGCAGACGACTAATGGTAGGAAACCCCACAAAAATAATATAACAAGGACAAAACTGAGTCCAAATAATTTGGGTTGATGGTTGTATTCTTCAGCAAGACATCTTGCTCACTCTGCTCCAGAGAGCCCTGACACAACATTTTCTTGTCCGATGGCCATATCACCAGGGAGGCAATGTTTTTGTAGAGACTGGTATGTGAGGGGCGCCTGTTGTTCCTCGCTTTTGAATCATTACAGCTTCAGCAAAGGCAGAGATCTCTAGCTCTGGCAGCATTCTCCACCAGTTTGAGAGCTGATTCTCTCTCCCAGCTCTGCCCCTCCTGACTGATGAGTAATTGATGCCTACCCACTCGGTCATGAGTCTGCATGAGTTTGGGAATGTAAGGCCTCCCTCTGTGTACTCTGCTCCAGAGCAAGCACGCCTGAATTGGTTTTGCTTCCTTTTACAGAATGCTTTTTAATGTTTTTTGGGTCATTCCAGCACCGCCATTGGGTATGATACAGGCAAAACCACTTGCAGTCACTTCCATGCCGTTTTTCTGTGTTCTTTTGTTCCTGTTTTTGTCTCTCTAGCCTGCTTTGATACCATATCTGGAATACATGCAAAGAAATTTGGCTATAGCCTTCCTGTGACACGGACTTCTCTATTACTGTACCCTGGAAATAAGACACATTCATGTTTCTGTTGTCATCTGCTCTGTCCCAAAGGCTCCTGCCCTCCTCAGCCAGCATCTCCTTCCCCAGCCTCTTGGCCACGTGACTGCTCAGCCATGCTTCCTGCATGCCCCACTTTCCACTTGGCCTGGCAGAAGCTCAGGTTGATCATGCCAATTGATTAAAATGACATTCTCAGTCCTAAGATCATCACAGCTACAAAACACTTCAGCTAAAATTATTTTCTTCCTATCCCAATTTTTTTTCCCAAAATCCCAATTTTGTATCATTTAAGAATCTGTTTAGCATAACGAGTCCCTTCTAAACTGCCTTCTGAAAATTGCCCATCCAGGTACCCCTGGGACCCTCTCCTCAAGAGCATATGAAAGCCTGAATAATTACTGTCTAAATGTGCTGATTTGACCCAGTTGTGAATCTGTTTAATCCACATTTCTCTAGATGCCCTGAGAATTGGGACCCTATTAAATGTTCTTTACTCACAGCTACAGAAAATCCCCTGCATTCCATTAAGCCGTTCCCTCAACACAGCGGGAAATCAACCTGATATGTTATGATTTGTCTTCAGCAAACCCAGCTGGCCTCCCATCCTCCACGCTTTTCTTTCCTCTAGGTGCGTGGTAACTGATGGCTTTATTAATTGTTCAAACAACGCATCAAAAAGGATGAATTCTGCCCTGTCCTCCCCATATCCTTTTCAAACCAGGTGCTTGGCTTCCTTTTTGCGAGGCTTCTGAACCTTTACTTCAGCTTCCGTTGCTGGTCTGTTGTTGGATAATATCCCCCTACCCAATGCATTGTGTTTAACTGCTGAGGTCTGCAGGATTTCATGGAGGGGCCAGAGTGAAGTTCCTGCAATTTTCTTGGTGGGCTCTGCCAAAGGAACAGGACTGGTGGTGAACTACAGGTTTCCAGTATGGTTTCCAAACTCATGCTGATCCCATCAGGTCTTCTTGTACAGGATCTGTTTGCAAATAATTCTTTCCAGGTTCTGCCTGGTTTTCTTATCTCTGTCAGTGTGATTGCATTAAAGCAAATCCTTCTTGGTGGGGAATGACATGCAGGAGCCATTTTCCTTTTCGGCTGCCTTTTCATCTCTCTGTGCTCCCATTAAGTGGGTGAGCAGAAACTTCCTCAAGCCATTCTCTTGGCTCCTTTATGTTTAGAAATCTTGTTCTCACTTCTTTGACGTGCTTTGCTAATGCACTGTTTCTCTTCTCTGGCTTTGCCTCAGCGCTGCTCTTTCTTGCTAATCCCAAAGAAAAATCTGCTTTCTTCTCCCGTTCCCTTTTCAAAGAAGCTTTCAAAGGCCTGCGAAACTGCAGCCATTTTGTGGTGGAAGGTGATGTGCAGAGCATTTTATCAGCTGGGTTTTCTGACCTGTTGTGCTGCCTTTGAGGGGCTAAAGGAAGGAAGTTAGGATTCCTGTTTTCTAACACTTTTTACTAGTTTTCCTTTGAACTCTCAGGGATATCGTTTGAGGTCTACACTGCTTTGATAGAATGAATGGTTTGGATGTCAGCTTTTGGACCCTTGCATTGCAGCTGGAGAAATGTGTGGAAAGAAATCCAGCATCTTTCCAAAACATTCACTGTCTTTGCAGTGACTGATGAGGGATTGATTTCTGCAGGGGAAATCACACAAATTTGACTTCTAATTAGATGTAGTAGTCAGTGTAAACCTTCCTCTCATTGTACAAATTTCTTAAGAGCTGCTTGTTGATTGGAAACAGGTTTAACTGATGGGACTTGCCTCGAAACAGGAGTGTCTGTACAGTGTTGCACATCCAAGTATAATGACACAAAATTAGAACTGAATAATGTTTTCCTCACATGGTTAATGCCACCACTTCATCCGTTCTTTCATTTTGCTTGTTGCTCTCCAGGTGATGTCAGCATTTCATGCATTTCCTGCTTCTTCAAAGTCAGTGGGTTAAAAGTGATCCAAGCTGCTAATAGGGAGGAAAAAAAAAATTAAAAGCTCTTCTGGCCTTCGTGTGCTCCAGCATGCTCCATACAGAAGCAAATGAGCACGCATGCTCTGCTTTTACGTCCTTGCAGAATGAATGTTTCAGCTCTGAGCTTACTCTCTGAGACTGGTTTTGGCCCCTTGTATAAGCCACTCTAGAGAATTCTGATGGCCAGGACTGGTCTGCCCACTGCACCACCATCTAGGAGGACTCCTTGGGTGTAGCCTCATGTATGGAGCAGCTCAGCCAGACTGCAGGAAGCTTCTGAAGTTTATCCTTGTTACAGGCTGACACCTCCCTGTGTCACTGTCTGGTCTTCCAGCCCCAAAAGGGAGATGAGCTCTGGCTCCCTGTGCTGAGCCCTGGTGCTGGAGATAACTTGATTTAACACTAATTTGAGCTATTCTTACCTTTTAAGCTGATCGGCTCAGAGCTGCCTGCTTTCTCAGAGCAGAAGAAACGCTGGGCAGAGATTTGTAGAAATGTCAGAGTCATCTTATGTGTTGTTATCATGCCCACTCCTCTCCCCAACTTGTGTTAAAGCAGATCTAAGTCCATTTATACTGTTCTTGACCAAAGTTTGTGTCTAAGCTCCTCTTGAAACCTGAGGTTGTCTTTAAGTGAAGAGAGCTTCGCAATGGCCCCAGGTGATCTACTCTACTGCTTCACAACCTATAGGTTTAAAAGCATTTCCTCTTTTCCAGCATAAATCTTCTTTGTCTTAAATTAAGCTAAGTATTTCTTGCCCCGTCCCTGGGGAGCCAGAGAAATATTACTCACTGTTCTCTTCTGACCTCATTTTACATACTGGAGAGTGTTTGCTCTGTTCCTCCTAAACCTTCTCTTTGCAAACTAAACAGGTTTGATTTCTTGTGCTCTGCCCCATAGCTACAATTTCGGCTAAGCCCTGTGCTTTCATCATGTGTCACTCCAGCCTCCCTTTCTGGGCTTGTAGAGACTGCTGCCACATCCTTCCTGGAGACCTTGATATGTATACAAGTTGGGCGTCTTCTGCTGCTGGTGCCTGGCTGCCGGCAACAGTTCCAGAGGCCAGGAGATCATTTCTGCTTGTTCTTTCTGTTACTGTGACCCATAGAAATGCTTGTAGTCATAATAAGGATTCAGGCTTACTCTAGTAGCATCTGGCCCTTTTCTGCAGGCACTCCCCAGGGCAGAGGACTCTCCACGTCTATTAAGCCGTGTCATTCTGCCTCTGTCAGAACTGGCCAGATCACTGAGATGGGGAGCCCTTGGTAGGACTGGGATTGAATCGTGTCAGTGGAGCTCCTGCCTCCTGGCAGGAGACAGCCCAATGCAAACCAGCATTCTGGAGGCCACTTGCAGCGACGTTTAACCTGTGGCTACTTTGGGCCTTGATCCCAAACTATTTCAGTGTGGAATAAGGCAAAAGACACCAAGAGAAGAGAGGTGAGGAAGTGCTGCAAGGAAATGAAGATGCATGGGGTCTCTGCCAAGCATCCTCATGAAGAAGATTTTGTGTTTTGTGCAGAAGCCGTAAAACTTAAATATTCTGTCTTTTAAGTGTAGACATCTTTGTTGGCTTGCTCAGGTTGTTAGGGTCTCAGTGGGGCTCACTGGGGTTCATTTCACAACTTTCCCTTTTAGCCTTCCATATTTTGATTTGTTTCCTACTTTTTACACATTCTGCCTTTTTGGGAGCTTTGTCTCCTGTTCTTTTTTTCTCACCAGGGCAGCAAGTGGGACACTCAGCAGTATAAACACTGCTAACATGCTCTTCCAGCCCCCACTGCTGGATTCCTTGTTCTGCTTCTATATAATTCATCCCCCAGTGCTTTTAAAAAGCACAAAACACTAACCAGGTCAGCAACAACCTTATCACAGGCTCTGAGTCTCTGGGAACTGTAATCCCGTTGTTTGGATGAGCTTGTGTCAGTTTTGCTTTCTGTCACTGCTGCACAGTCGCTGACACAGATGATGTTTGACTTTGTTTTCTCGTTGCCGAGCACAACTGAGACTGAGCCCAGTCTGGGGCCTGCGTGTTCGGCCAACGAGTCTGCAGGCACAAAGGGGGAAGGGAAGGGAAGTTGCTGCACAACAGGGCTGCCCAGCTCTTCCTCGCAGACTCTGCGGGTGACCAGAAGTCCGGGCATCATTAAGGGATAAAGGTGTCTCTTCTTCAGATAGATAGTGAGCCAACTTTAAGTGTAAGGCACACAGCTGGCTCTGAACCCATGGTTTTGTGCCAGCTTGGGTGGGAATTTGTGTTAAAAGCACAGTAGCATGGCCTGTATCCTTTCCTTGACTCCGTTTTTTTTTTGGCTCTGCAGATTCTGGAGCAGGATAGAGGCCATGGCACTGCATTCATCCAGGAGAATGCTGGCTGGCACTCCAGTGGGCACTGGTAGAAAATCCTCTTCCAGCTGCAGCCTGGAAGTGTTCACTTCCCCCATCACTTTGCCCCGGAACAGGAAGCATGTCATAGCTCGTGCATCCAGACATGCTCCTCTCCCATCCCTCTCTGATTTGGAATTTACTCCTTGCTGGGGCGTCACTATAGACATTCCTGTTTTTGCAGGAAGCAGCTAGCCCTCAGGGATTCCTTGCTAAGCCAGAGTCTCAGTGAGAGCTGGCTACAACAAGTCCTCTGGGTGATAACAGCATGCAGAACGGTTTCATGCTGAACCTGGTGGTCGTCAGTGTCAAAGCTGCCATGCTCACAGAGAGCCAGGAAGAGTCCCTTGGCTAAAACATCTTGTATTGTCTCTGCCAGGTTCGGTCCATCAGCATCAATGTGAGGAAGAACCTTGCTTTCAACACACTGAGCCAGGAACTGCTGCTGAAGGAATTCTCTACGATCTCTTGAAGCGTGGACGCAGCCACTGCGCGGGGCTGACCAGAGCCGGGCCTGTCTGGGCAGGGACACTACAGATCTGCAGCTGGCCGCCTCTTGCCTTCCGCCTGCAGAAGAGACTGCGTTTCTTCTTCAAAGGGGAGAGCCTTGCTGCTGTGTGTTTGATCCCAAAGGCATGTGTTTCAACAGGACTGGGACTGAGGAGAGGTGATCGGCATGTTGAGGAGGAGGAGGAAGAAGCAGTTTTGTAAGGTGCCATGGGGGTGGGCAGCTGTTCCTGTGACACAGCAATGGGAGATTCCCTCCGCAGCCTCAGGGAAGATGCACTAGAAACCTTTGTAGCAGAGCTGGGGAGAGGTGACAACCAAAATAATAAAACCAGACCAGCTGTGTGAGACGTTTCTGGGTTGAGATCACTCGTCTGCTCTACAGGTGAGGGCTGTTCTTTTCCATCAGCCGGGATCAACCCACCCTCCCGCAATGTAGGTCAAATCCTCTGCAATCCCATTGGGAATGGCTTTGGGGTATAAAACAGTTTCCCCAAGAAGCAGGCCCTGCTCACTGCTGGCTGCTGATGTCAGAAGGTGTCACTTGAACCAAGCCATCGGATTACTGGAGAAGAAATTTTGCCTCCACACTGTTGACTTACATGATCCAGTCTGAGCCAGTATGCAAGAATATGGGTCATCAAACAGAGCACTTTGTAACTGGAGACCAGCTCTGCTCGGGGTCACTGTTGCTTCCAGTAGCCCAGCTCATCTCTGCTGTTTCTAAGGTTGAGGGACGTTTTTAGATATTCCTCTTTCATGGGGCAGACGACAGGCTGACTCCCTTCCCCACTCCCCTTATTGCCCATCAGAGACTGCATTGTGACAATCCTACTCTTCCTCACAGGAACGTCTGCCTTGCACATGTTTGCAAGTGCCTGGTGATCTTCATGAGCTACGAAGTCCCAAATTTTTCCCTTGTGTGTAGCACGCAGTTAAAATGCAGCTGGAGAAGTAGTTACTTCACTTTTTAGCTTGCCCTCCCATCCTCACCAAATGACTTGCAGCAACAGTCTGCTGAGAACTTCCTAAGGAGTTGCCCTGGGATGATGTTCTGGAGCACAGATGGATCTTTCTGCACCAGAGCCAGTGTTTCAGAGGTGCCCAGGTCCAGCAGAGCCTGTTCCAAGTGCTGTGTCAGGCTGCCAACTCAGGAACACGTAGCATAAACACCCATTCCCTGCTCGTGCATTTTCAGCTCCCAGCAGCGATGGTAGGATCTGTCCTGACTTGGTGGACTGAAGCAGAGAAGTTATTTACATCCCAGGTTCACTTTTTCTTTTTCCTAGAAAACAGTTTTTTGAAAACAAGTGCCTAGTCCTGCTCTCAGCCTGGTAGGTTAGAGTAGTGTGAGTGGTGTGAATGTCACGCTCATTTACTACTGTTTTTAGGCAAGGCTTATTGATGCTAACGTGTGTTAATTGCGTTAATGTTTCATCTTTACCTGTCATGAGCATGGGAAAGTGAAAGCTGGGTCCTTGGCCACCCACTGGTCACAGCACCTGATAAAGACCGTACATTTTCCTTGGGAGCACAGGCTTCTCCCAACAGAGGCTTCTTTACTCAGTGCAGAATTGTCTGGCTTTTTTCAGCTAAGCCAGACACTTATTTGCTTTCCTGCCATGCAAGTGTTTGGAAATGTATACATGTCAGAGGGATGGTGCTTGGGAGAGCAAGCAGGCTCCTTAAAATCCCTCTGCTTGAGAACAGGCCAGGACACGTAGAAGGAGGCAGCTTCTCCAGTGGCAAATAAGTGAAAACGCAGCACATGGCACTGTTGTCTGTATGCATGGGGAGCTCTTGCTAGACACTCTGACCTCTGAGGGGGGGAGTTTCTTCTAAAGGGGGTTTGACGTGCAGCCTCAGCATCGCTGCTGTCGGAGCGTTGAGTCACCCTGCTGTCCACATGCCTCCTTTTCCCTGATCCTGCTTAGGTGGAGACTAGACGGATAGGTGAGAGAGTTGGGGATGAGTCTGCCTTGGCAACCTCTGGGATTTTCAGCTTTTCACTGTCAAAGGTCTCATCTGCCCCAGGGCACTTCCATGCTGGGATGAACTGAGAAGCCCAGGCTGTGACTGGGAGCAGCTCCTGAGGTCAGCGCTCGTCCAAGGCTGAGCTGGGGAAAGCTATGACACACACACATCCTCTTGTCACGCTGTCACTGAACCAAGCACTGTAAATGGATGTACATAAAACCTAGAGCTCAATAAATAGCAGAGCCCTGCCTGTCCCGAGCGTGTGGTGTTTGTCCTTTGCAGAGGGGAGAGTTATGGGGGTGGCCCTGTCACTTTTTGGCGTGCTGGTGGCTGCTTGGGCTGTTGCTGGCTGTGCAGAGGGAGGTCGTGGTGCTGCTCAGAGGTGCCTCTGTGGTCCAGGCTGCAGGTACCAGCCAGGTGAGCAGCCTCTGCCTCTTACGTGCCCCTGGGGCTGCTGGTAAGGAAAACAAACACGGGCATGGCTGAGAGCCCATGGATGTGAGCGAGGGATGCAGAGATGCACCTGTGCATGGTGTGATGGTGTCTCAGCTGCTGGTGTCGGCAAACTCCTGCTCACAGATTCTGCTGCAGATTTGCCTGTTTTGTTAACACCACACTACTACTTGTGTTTTGAGACCAGCTTAAAGTGAGCAGAAAGTCATTTAACTCTAACATTCAGCCTCAGGACGTGGCTGGTGGCCTCAAACTTTCCTATATCTGATCTAAGCAGTTGAATGTATTTTATTATATCTAATTCATAACCCAGTCTATCACTGAAAGAGCCGGTTTTGAGGCTTGGGGAGAAATCAGATTGCTGCCTTTAAATTAGGCAGCCGCTGCAGGGAGACAAATATTTTACGAAATAATGACCAGATTCTGGAGGAGAAAAATTGAGTTTGAGCTAAACTTTTGAGGGAGTTATTAAAAATTGATTCATAAGTGCCACTGTGATTTTTGGTATCGTCTCTTCTTCCCATTCTCCTACAGGTCCCATTTTTCATGCAGACTTGAGAGAGAGGCAGCTCCCCAGGGCTGCGGGTTGTCAGAGGAGGCACCATGCCTTGGGCACAGGGTACCCATGGGTAAGGTTGTTGTGGGGGTCAGTTGCGTGTGATGATTTGGCTGCTTCTTGAGCGTGCCAGGAGCAGGTGGTACCAGACCCTTGAGTCTCATGTACAGTGGCCAGAAAGCAGAGTGCACCTTCGCCCACCCGTTCTCTTTGCCTTGCAAACCTCTTCATCCTCTTTGTCCCCACACACGGCGTGGGGGCTGTGTCTCTGTAGGATTGAGCTGTCCTCCACGTGAGCCTGTCATGGTGCCCATTGGGGTGTTTTTCCCTCCCTGCCTGAAGGATTGCACGTGCTTCCTCTGCCCTGGGGTCCTGCTATGCTGTTGCATGGTGGGTGTCAGGAGGAGAAACCCACTGTCATGGGGAGACAGCATTTGCACAGGGGATCAGCCCCAATGTGCACCATCTACCTCCCCGTGCTTCCCTACTGGGATGGAGCTGAGGGCAGGTGGAGCTGGGGTCCTTCCCAGCTCCTGGCCTGGCGCACACAGGCAGAGGGAGATGCCGTGACCCTGCCAAGTCACGGCTGCTGTCGTGTGTGTCAGGGCTGGTGCGCGGCCAGCAGTCTGCAGTAAGATTTACAGCTGGCTCTTGGCACTGGCAAGCAGCTCTCCGTCTCGGTGTTGACACCAGTGACTCGTGGATGTTGATTCTCATCTGTTTTCTGGGCTCTGCTTTCTTGTTTGGTACTTGTTAGGATAAGCAGGGGCTGCATCCTGGCAGTGCTCAGCAGGGTCATACTAGATAAAGGTTTGTCCCCATAGAGGTGATGGGGTTTTTTTAGGCAGATGAGCTATTGCAGTAACTGAAAAGGAAAGGGATAAAGCCTAGCTTTGGGAGCTGCAGACATCCAAAGGGGCCAGGATAAGATGGGCTTTTCCCCTAGTGTAAACTAACTAGTGCCTTTGCTGATGCTTTCAGGAGGAGGGCAGACTTAAGAGTAACTCATGAATGAAAGTCTGGGCCAGGAGGCTGGAGGAAGGCTGTTGCAAGGCCTATGGGACCCAGCCTTCCCCGAGGCTGCTGGGCATCCTTCGTGCTGGTCAGAGCCCTGGTTCTTCCCACTGCAGGATGGTGTTGGTGAGCTCGGGGGGACACTGGACGAGCACATAGGTGACCCCAAATAAATGGGACAGGCAGCACCCTTGGGGGAGCATCGTTGGATGCTTGCCTTGATCCTGTTGTCTTTTTAAGCACCTTTAGCCACCCTTGGCCGGTGCAGAGCTCAGATCTGACCCAGGGCGGCTGTCGCCTCTCGGGGTTGTGACCGACTGCAAAGGGGGATGCTTGGGACAGGGCTCCCCCCAGCCTCTGCCCTGCAGCTGCCCACACGTTACTCAGGACCCGCGGCTCATGCACAGGCAAGCCCCTGCCTCTCCTTGCCAGCACAGGGCTCCCCTGGAGCCCCCATCATCTCAACACGTCCCAGAGGGCTGGGACAAGCACAGGGTCCCGGTGGCTGCCGGAGCAGCCGCCGCAGCTCCACGCTGCGCTCCCCTCTCCCAGCTTGTCGGCTGCTGGAGCACGGGCCAGGCCACGCTCCGCGGCCTCTGCTCTCCCGTGCCGTCCCTCCAGGGCTAATTGAATCATGTGGCTGGAAATTGAATCCAATTGAATAGATTAAATGAGCCGGGCTTGCCACTCGCTGCAGCGCAGCTCAGAGCCTTGCCAGGCTGCTGCCAGAGACTGGGAGCTCCTGGGAGTCCCGTGGGGACACAAAGACGCTGGGGAGGCTACGGGGAGATGGACACCCACTGGCCTGGGCTGGTTCTCCAGCTCTGCTTTGACAGAAGAACCTTCAACCATTTCTGGGTGATGTGCAGCCTGGCTGTGTCCCAGGGCCCACAGGTCATTCTGCTGGAGGCACGCAAAGGTTGGGTTTTGTCATTTCCTCTCTGAAGCAATTAGTGACTAATTAG